CTGCTAGGGTTTAGAAATATGATGTAAAAGAAAGATTTTCATGAATTATATATGTATATATAACAACAAACCAGAACCAATTCAAAAAGACCCGAAATCCGATTCAAACTAGGAATCTAGATTTGGCCTCGTCGGTCGACTGATTGGGTATCATCAGTCGACCGATCAGAATGGGGCGATCGACCAACCAGAACATATCTTGATTACAGGTTTTGTGCATGTTCTCGCTCATATACACACATTTATGCACTTAATTGATCTCAAATTGATAACTACCATACTCATTCATCAATAAATAATATTTATCATAATAAAAATTCATTTAATATTATTTTTCATAGTATTTTAAAATTTGCGGGGTTTTACAATCCGCCACAACAGCAGCTGAGGGTGATGTGGAAGTGATTGATAGTGACATGTTGGTCATGGCAACGATTGAGATAGATAGACAAGGAGAAGAGGAAACTGACGGGGAGCTCAAAGGTAGTGGGTTTGGCAGAAGAGAGTCCGCAATAATGGAGGATGGAGTAGCCATACTGGCGACCTGCAGTGTTGAGAAATGTGGAGGGACAAATGACTGGAGAGGAGAATGCGGTGGAGGAAAATGCGAGCTTTCAACAAACATGGGAGGAGACGATCCATTTGACGAGTCAATGACAATATTGAAAAAAGGAAAGATAGACTCATGAAAGCGCACATGACAACTAACATAGACACGACTCATAACTAGATCAAAGCAACGATAACCTTTATAATGAGGAGCATATCATAAGAAAATACAATGTTTAGACCGAGCTCAAATTTGTTGGTAACCTGAGCCAAAAGATTTGAAAATTATTCACAGCCAAAAACTTGAAGAAAATCATATTCAATTATCTCTTTAAAAAGTCATTGATATGAAGAGATGTTATCTAAAAGTGGAGCAGGTAATTGATTTATCACAAATACCACCGTATACACATCATCAACCCAAATTGAGACGACATCTAAGCATCAATCAAAAAGGTACGTGCCATCGCAATAATGTATAAATGTTTTTGCTCTGCCACACCATTTTGTTACGGTGTGTCACGACACGATTTGCGAAAATAAATTCCATTCTCCAAAAAATATTGTTTGAAAGCTTTATTATCAAATTCTTTACCACAATCACCCTGAAACATTGAATTTTGTAAGAAAACATGTTTTCAACCAATTTTGAAAGCTACAAAAATGAGTAAAAACTTTAGATTTATTTTTCGTAGAATATATCCAAGTAAAGTGAGTGCAATCATTAATAAAGCAAACATAATATTGAAAATCCAAATTAGATAAAATAGGTGATTGTTAAACATGAGAATGAATCAAATATAAATGAGTACTATAGGAGTGCACAACATCACAAAAAGGTAAAACGATGTGATTTTTCAAGTTTACATGAAACACATTTATTCTCAAAATTTGTTGCCGTCACAATGGCATGATTTGACCTAAGCTGATTAAAGACTCAATACAATGACCTAACTGACGATGCCATGTATTTGCGTTATTAGTCAAGAAAACAATACATGTGGCAGAGTTAGACTTGATGGAAGAATAAAGAGGGTAGATATTATTTCTACTGGAGCCTTGAAGAACCTTCCCCATGGTTTTGTCCTTAACATGCACAGAAGATGAGTCAAAATTAACCACACAATTATTATCATCACATAATCATTTAACAAATATTAAATTGTGTTTTAAATTAGGAATATGAAGCATAAAATTAAGACGAATTGATTTAGCAGAAGAGTTTAGTCGTATATCATCAATATTAGCAATATGTAAAAGCTAGTACTTTAATTTGACCAGTATAATGAGTTAAGCAAGATAATATACCCTCAAATGGTGTGATATGAGATGATGTAGCTGAATATGAATATTACAAAGCCTCATTAGCATCACCATGAGACATAGCAGCAAAGGATGGAGCAACATGAGGAGGGGTCAAATAATTGGGAGTACCCTCTTGAGAAAGAAATAGGGAACAAGATGGAGTGTTGTGACTTGGACTAAAACAAAGTTTTTAAAAAATTGTAGAGGGACAAGAGCCCAATATCCCATTAGAAGTGCAGTTATAAGCATATCATGGAGAATAAGAAGTATCGCTGTCAATAATATCTAAGCAATTAAATGAGAGATTACCATTTGCGAGATTCAATTAGGGGCCTCGAGTTTGTGCACGATATTGTTGATTGCCATAATATCCACGTCCACCATTAGTTGTGCGAGTTGTACGACCTCGACCACCATGAAAACCACGATTCCAATCACCACGTCACTGTCCATGCCCGCGCTAGCCACCTGTGGGCTGTTGCTATTGCTGGTTACCCCCTGGGGACGGGTCTAAGTCGACAGGGTTGCGAGCTGCAACTGAGTACCCGAGCCACCACCAGATGTTGCTGTGACACCAGTGACAACAACTTGATGCTGATGGACATCAAAATTGTGCTCTTTTAAACAGTGAACATGTTGTTCATGGGGAATTAACTTGGAGCGGAGATCATCAAAGGTGATAGTGTTGCCAAAATATGTCACTGTCATAAGGAGGGATTCATAATTACTATTCAATCCAAAAAGAGTGTGTTGCGCGAGTTCATGATCGCTCATGAGAGAATTAAACGCAGTAAGTGAGTCTGCAACAACTTTGATCTCACGTAAATAGACCTCCATGGATTGGTTGTCACCCTTCTTTATAGTGGTGATGGTGCATTTCAATTCCATAATGTGAGTAAGACTAGTCGTAAAGAAGTGACATAGAAGGCGATCCCAAATCTGGAAGGAGTGTGCAAGATCATGAACTTTAACTAAAACCTCTCCAGACAAAGTAGCGAAGAGCCACGAGCGAATGCTTTGATGTATCTGAATCCACGATATGTAATGAGGATTGAGCTGAGCATCATCAGTATACATTTGCAGGGGAGGGCACGATCCATCAACGAAGATAAGTAAATTATGAGAAATCAGTAACACGGTGAATTGCATGTTCTAGGTTAAATAGTCTTCAATAGTTATCAATTTCACTGTGATGAGATTGGTCACATCGGTACAGTCAAAGCCAAAGGAAAGAAAAAGTTTGAAGTGGGCAGCGAGGGAATAAGGCCACCATTATTAAGGATATTAGCTTGAAAACCAGTACATAAGTTCAGTCCATGTAGTCCCAATGCTATTTGATCGATGCTCATTGTTTGTGTGATCATCAGGAACAAGGCACGAGTTATCGCAGGTTGCGGTTGGGTCTAAAAGGATGCTGGCGACATTGTGAATGGTTGTTGCTGTTGCAAAATAGAGAATAGGGGATGTGATTCGCCAATGGAAGGGGTAGGTGTCGACATAGGGATTGTTGTCATCATTGTTTTTGGGATCTCGGAAAAGGCATATGAGACCAGAGATGTTGTTGAACTTGAAGAGGACATAAAGAGGATCGAAGTCAGAGGAAGAGATATGGTCAAGGTCTCAATGTCGAATGAAGATACAGGAGTTGTCGAAGTCAGAGGAAGGGTCGAGGTTAAGGCCCCTGTGAAACTCGAAGATGAAGATGAAGTCGAGGTTGAGGCCCCTGTGAAACTCGAAGAAGATGACGTCATGATTCTAGGGTTTCAAACCTACTCTAACACCATGATAAAGTATTAAGAGAGAAAATTGGATGAACAGATTTTTACATATAGACCCTCAATGATAATTACATATTGTAGTTGCACTATTAGATGGGCCTAAAGAAAATAATATAGGAAGTGGGTAGATAGAATAACTAATCTAGTAGAAAATGGCATGCATTTATCATTATCAATTTTCTATGTAGTGAAATTGTATGTTAGTTCAGTTGCTACTATTGCTCTATCAAGGTTGTTATGGTGTTCCCATTTTCGCCAAAGTACAATTCATTACTAAACACTGGATAGGTGTATTTCCACATTCAGCGCCCCAGTCAACTTGACGGCCTAGGCCTAGTAAGGATTCTGACTTAGCCGACTCGTCGAGTCGATACTCCTTTATGTCGACTCGAAAGGCGGTACTAGTCGACCTTCTTGCCGAAGACGACTCGACAGGAGTCCACCCGGCCATTTGTTCAAACACCTCGCGAGAACGACTCAAAAGGCGTTACTTCTCTGCGAAATTAAAAGACTATTTTCGCCTCAAGCTTCTCTCTCTAGTAACGTGTCAACATCACATTTAATGCTTGGCAGGTGTCATCATGACTCTAGCCTCGATAGTCTTCATGACTCATCAGACCACGTGGGCAGCATCATGTCACCACTCACTTCTTATTTAATGTTGAAGTGATCCTCCCTCCAATCACCGGCCGACACCAGTAAAGTAAATGTTGATGCAACCGCCAGCCCATACTTCGCCACCACCTCTCAGTGCTCGGTCAAAGTGACCAATCTACCCTTATAACTTTAGTATAAATACATGTACTATTTCAACTTGGGCTGGACCTGTATTTCCAACACACACTAGAACTCTTACAGTTCTTATTGGACCTCACTCAAGCTCATTAGTAATTTGATCGTCGAAGGTACTACGGGGGAACCAAACTCCGCCCTCTCATGAATTTCTGCACGTGCAGATTTTTCAGATACCCAGCTCAAGAACCAGAGATAAAGTTAGGGGAGAAAATGGCCCCGTCATCGATACTCAACAAGCTCATCCAAACACAAATACACATTGACCGTGTGATCACTTAACATCAACAAAGGTGTATACTACTTCATGTGTTTTGAGTACGCAGTATTAGAACCGACAGCATACGAGCGATCAGTCTGAACGATGCATTTAGTAGGGGG